CCCGGCAATGAGAGTTCGCATCTCTTGGACAAAGTCCACAAATTCCTTGTTGCCCTGTCGGGCGGCAAGAAAACGCGATCGCACGCGATACGCCTGATTAGGTGGCGAGAACACTCGTGAGAGCTGCAATTTTAGCTCTGCCCGGAAGTGAAACGCAGCTCGGACCAAAGTGCCGCACGTCAGTGACCAGTCTCGCGCTCGACCACCGATCTTTGAGATGGCTAGCGCTACGGTTGTTGCTCGGTCTGGAGTATGGCGGATGTGATAGCCATCTCGACGTCTCTCACCCAGAGCAGGAGATTCTCTCCATCCTTCACCTCAGAGACCTTAACGCTCACCATGGGCGGCTTAGGTCGGGGGAAGTCATCTGTCACTGACGGTGGCGTCATAGACGCAAACGATGCAGACATCTTCTGCTACAGGTGCCCTAGCAGCGCGTTTTCGTAACTTGAACGTTTCTCTAGACACGCACCGATTGCCTCGAGGCCGTGCGCTACGATGTGTTGCACGCCCTTAGTGCCAAGCAAGGACATCAGCTTGTTAAGACCGTCCTGCATGCCCTGGGGCAAAGAAGAAAATTGTTCCATTCTCACAGAGGATCAGTCTAAACGACTCAGGCGTAGATTGACCAACAAGTGCTACCAAGTGCAGCGGGGCTGCCATAGCTTAGCGTTTAAAGAAACGTACTTTAGGTCACCGACCTTTCGTTCTTTACAAGTACCAAGTATGAGTTAGCGGATCGTAATCCGCTAACTCCAAGAATAATTATTGCCTTCCCAAAGCTAATTTGACTCTTCGGTTTAAAATCAAAATTGATATTTATTTATTTATTATCTGAATTTAAAAGTTTAGATTTTCCTAAATATACACAGTAAAATCTAAATATATGCATAAATACTGGCTACCTAGCCACATACAGTATTCTTGTTTGGGCGCAGTCACACCATGCACATCTCGTGCGACCCCCCCCTGTTATCAGGGTTCGTGTAACCCCGTTACAGTTTACATTTGAACGGAAGGGTTTATTTGCCTTGGGTTTAGGGTGTGGTTTCACTTGGAGTAAGCGGATTGCGATTTGCTACACTCGAACTGCTTTAAAATATAGAACAAAAGGTCACCGACCTTAGCTTAGCTTTCTCTAAGCGAAAGAGCTACGGCAGGCCAGTGTTTCTAGTGCAAAGGGTTGATGTGCACCTTGGAAAGGATAAGCTTTGAATCGACGAGCGTATGTAAATGCATAGTGTGTAGGCTCGTACGCGTCGCCGTAAAGCGAAATCGAGAGCCTCTCCAGCAGCTAGGTGCTCCTTTTGTTTCAAATTGCTTTGTTTAAACAATTACATCTATATTTCTATCCTAACGATACAATTTTGTTTACTACATAGCGGAGAGCCACTACCTGACATGAACCACGGATTTCTCCGGTCCGGAGCACACACATTAGCATATCATTATACTTCGGCATTTTTTTACTTATCTTGTCTTTATGTCCGAGGGATAATAGTGACGATAGTCATACACCATACGTACCCTGTTTACAATTAAGCTCAATGTGTTTCCAAAACGGCCAGAGCAAATATTTTTATCGAAAAGAAAGGTGCTTTCAAAATACGATGCGTCGAGGTGGAGACATGCAAGCTAACCGTACCACCCTTTTACTGACGCGTCGATCTGATCGTAAACTGGTTGGTGCACATCAGTCGGGTCACTGCAGATCGATACTGCCAGATTTGATCCTTTTGATAATTTAAAATGTAGGCACACTTATTGATGTCAAATTACTGAATGAAGTGAGAAGCTTCGCTACAAATAAATCTGATCGTGCCTCTCTATTCAAATGTGGACAGTCTGAAGTGCAATATGCTTTGAAACAAATAGTTCATTCTCTGTCAGCTGACTCAATCCTTCTGCTTATATTGAGCGATCCTTTAACGGCAACACATGTGCAAGTGGGTTTCCTGTTAGAATCACACCGCTGAATGTATGTGGATGATTACGGATGTTGATTACGGACATAATGGCATAATGGTAGTCGCTCATTGGTCTAGATTA